ATCGGATGCATGCAAGACAAACGCCCTACCCGCTGTGCTATCGCTCCAGCCCCTGTCTAGTTTTTAGGTTGGATTTTTCAAAGCTAGAAATTTTTCAAAGATGGAACTGCTCTCACTAAACACCCACTTCTCTAGCTGCCTGCTGACCTGTCCTACTGCAGACTTCATTGCATTGGTTCTCACTAACTGGAAACCCTTCCCCTGACTTCTCATCCTAATTATCTTTCATGCAGTTTAGCTGTCACTTTAGTCCTTAGTTGTCTTTTTCTTCTATGTCCTTTTGAAACACTTTATATATCCCTCTAACATGGTATTCACTGAGTCCCAGAGGAACTCAGCCCAGTAAAATCAGAGTTACGAATCTTTCTTCATAACCACTCATAAGTGCTGTTTAGGCCACTTGTATCCACGCTATAGATTTATCCACAAAAACTAGATGCTGTTTTTGCCAGAGCTCCTGACTAACTTGCAGTTAACAACAAATTCCTTTCTCTGGTTCGCATTCCTCCCCATAGAAAAAGAAAGGTTTATTACTGGAGCTGAGATGGGGAGCCCACAAAATACTGTCTGTGCCATAAATGGATTAAATGACCCTATGGGGAAGTAAGGACTTTGCTAGCATATACTAGACTTTCCAAATCAAGTTTTGGGGCCATACCTGGCAGTGCTCAGGATATTTCTGGGCTTTGTGCTCAAGGATCACTCATGGCAGTGCTCAAGGTGGTGCTGGGAACTGAAGATTGAACTGGAGTTGGCTACTTCTAAGGCCTTAAACCCTACACTATCTCTCTGACCTCTTAAAATTTTTTTTAAAGCACTTGAATTGAAGCCATTGATGAATGTTCTGGTAACAAACCAGATGGATTTGTTTTCTGTTTTTAATTTTTTAAAAAGCATTTTATTATAACACCATGATTTACTGTTGTTCATAATACAGTTGTTTCAGGCATTAAATATTACAATACCAGTCCCATCATCAGTGTGATCTTCCCTCCACCAATGTCCAGTTTCCCACCCACCACCCTAGCCTGCCACCTTAGCAGGCACACAAAATTTACTTCATATTGTTTGTTACAATACAAAGACAAGTGGAATTATCAAAGCTTAGATCAATAAAAGTTAATTTGTGATAATTGCTATATCAAAATGGTGTTACTGAAGTCATTGAAGATTTATTGGGCTGGTTGGTGCTAGTTGAGCCTTCTTTGTTACTGTTTTGCTCATTGAGCTTGGTCTTCTATGCAACCTTCCCATCAGATTTGCTCTGATTTTACTGGGCTGAGAATACTGTGACATGGCCAAAAGCTATGGAGCTGGAATGATCTGGTGGCTTGGCAGCTTGATGAGGTTCGGTTGTGGAGCTGGGCTGTTTCTATGTTGGAGGTTGTTGGGTGTGGCTTCAGGCTGCTGTGCCTAAAGGCAGAAAGGGGAATCAGCTTGCTCCCATTCTGAATTGTCATCCTGTTCTGGTCTACCTGGGAAGATGCATGGGTTGATTTTCTTAACTCAGTTATATACTGGTTAAGAGAAACCAACAGGTGATAGTGAAGCATTCCAGGGCTAGATATGGGGTTTTGGGGCACCATTGCTACCCTTCTTCCAGAGGCAGGAGGATGTTAAATTCTTCAAACAGGGAGATATGTGCTGAAAGTAGATAAAGGACCAAATATGATAGCCTCTCAGTATCTATATTGAAAACCATAATGCCTCAAAAGAGTATGAGGGAAATTGTATGCCATAGAAGCAGGGGGAGAGATGGGGTGAGGGAGGGGATACTGGGGACATTGGTAGTGGAAAATGTACACTTGTGGAGGGATGGTTGATTATTATATGATTGAAACTTAAACATGAAAGCTTTTTAACTATTTCACGGTGATTCAACTAAAAAAATAATAAATTTGTCAAACAGAGCTGTGACAGGAAATGCAGTTAACCCATAATCCAGTCAGGCAATAAATCTTTTTTGTGTGATTTTGGGTCACACCCAACTGTGCTCAGGGATCACTCCTAATGGTGCCTGGGGACAATATGTGGTGCCAAGAATCGAAAGCCCAGCTCAGTTAAGTGCAAGGCAAGAACCTTACTCGCTGTGTTATTTCTAGCCCTGGAATAACTATCTTGATTTCATTCCTTTGTGTACCTCTGGGATTCTGTAAGTGCCACTTATTGGCAGGACCCAAGAGGTGCTCTACTGTGTACAACTTATTGATATACATTCATTGGTAGTTGGGTTTTGGGGTTGTTTCCATATCTTGGCTGTTGTACCACTAAGTACTGTAACAAACATAGGTATATAGCACTGTCCTCCTGTTGTTCATCAATTTGCTCAAGCGGGCACCAGTAACGTCTCACAACAAATTGTGAGACTTGTTACTGTATTTGGCATATTGAATACGCATATTGAATACGCCACAGGGAGCTTGCCAGGCTTTGCCATGCGGGTGCGATGTTTTTGCACTGTGGAGGTAGATTACCAAGAAGTATTGTTGCTAGTAGTTCCATAAAGTGGGGAGCTAGGGAGGACTTGAGAAAGAGTGCTTCCACCTTTCTGCTGGACCTTCCTTGGCCACTAGCACTCTGAAAAATGCCTGGCTTGGGTCAGGGCTGGTAAGATCTGCTGCAAGCAAGTACACAGCGCAGATGTTCAAATCTTGCCAGCTCCACAGGGCCGTCATCAAGTTGCTCTTCGAGTCCGCTTGTTTTGTACTGAGAGATGATACCTGCCACCCTATTTCTCAAGGAGCCATGACTCAGGCTGGAGTAAAAAACTGCTCTTTCAAGAAAGGAAAGCCAGTCCTAGCATAACAGATGTCCTTGGTTTGTCTCTTTCCCTTACAGCAGAGAATTTCAGGAGATGAAATAAGTGAAGCAAGGCAGTTTTTACTGAATGGAAACTTAGAGAGGGGGAAGAAAGAAAATACATGTTCAAGAAAAACACAGGCTTCTCCGGAGTGGATAAAGCCCGGGATTGCTTTTAGGAGGAGAATACAATACTTCCAAATGAATTTTTCTGGAGTTCACTGCATAGAAGTTAATCTGGTACAAAAAAGAAAACAAAAAAAGTTAATCTGGGCACTGTCACTGGAAAGTCTTGAACAGTTAATTTTTTTCCCTTCATAATCGCATCCCTTGCACTGTTGATAATCTTTTCATTATCTCATCAATTCTTCTTTCTTCAGTAGCTTTTCTTCTGAGGGGTCCAACCTTTCTACAACTAGGGCCTTGGATTTCTGCATCTGTGTGGTGCTTCATTTTCTCTTTTCCAAAAAGCTCAGGGTTTTGTATTTCAAAGGGATGTGGTGGTTCTTCAAGTTCATGTTGCCCCTCAAACACATATCTCATTTGCTTGTCTCTATTACCTTTGCTCACTTGAATTTTCCACTTGGAGAAGCCCAAGTTCTTTAATTTGTACTTCCTCTTTTTCTCTTTTATCACTCACATCTGTTTCATTCAATAAAAATTGTCGTTTCTTTAAAAGGGGTTGGGGAAGGTGTGGTCTTTATATCTAGCTACTTACGGGTGAGGCAATCTCTTCTTAAATTTTATTATTTCTTAAAAAAGTACATTACTAAGCTCCCCCTGCATCCCCACCTGCAACAATACTGTTGAATTGTATGGAAGTTTTTTTTCTTTTTGAGAAATATCCATATTGTTTTCCACTGAGGTTGACATTCCCAACATGAGTGAATGAGGGTTTCTTTCTCAACCCCACCAATGGTACATTATTTTTATATATGCCATCCTCACATTTTGATTTACATTTCTGTAATCATGAGTGACAATGAGCACTTTTTAAAAATATGCTGACTGGCCATCTATATTTCTCCTTTGAGGAAGAAGACATATTGTTCATCTCTCCCAGGTTTTCAATGTGGTTTTGGATTTTTTTATTGTTGATCTTTGTGATATCTTGGATATTCTTAAGGAGCAAGCACTGTCGCACAGCAGCACTGTCCTCCCGTTGTTCATCAGTTTGCTCCAGCGGGCATCAGTAATGTCTCCATTGTAAAACTTGTTACTGTTTTTGGCATATCAAATATGGCAGGGTAGTAGGCGGGATGCTGGGCTCTCTAAGAGGGGTGGAGGAATTAAACCCCGCATGGCTGCGAGGAAGGCAAATGCCCTACCCGCTGTGCTATCGTTCTAGCCCCTGAAGGAGCAAACAAAAAATTCTTTTCAGGGGGCAACGTTTTTTTAAAATGCGAAGGTCGGAGAGATTGTACAGAGCTTAAACTTTAGGTACTTAACCTTGTATCTCACAAACCCTGATTTGAATTTCCAGAATCCCTTATGGTGCCCTAAACCTCCAGAAATAGCGTTTGAGCACTGTCAAGTGTGGCCCAAACCTCTCCTCCCCAAGATAAAAGAATAAGTACTATCAAGTCCAAGTTATATTTACATTGATTTAATAACAAGTTGTGCGGTCAATTGAATCTTCCAGTATAGTTGAAGATCTTATGATTTATATGCGTTCTTACCATGTGACAATGACACTCCTCCATGGAGAGGTATGGGCTATATCCTTTGTCCTTGATCTTCATAAAAGAACATAGTAACACTATGTTACTTCTGAGGCCACACCATAAAAGGTGAAACCTGACCTGGTTCTGCTGTGATGCTTCTTCTTTTTCGTCATGCAAGATAGTTTTTACTGAACATTTTACTTAGAAAGATGTGAGGGAGAGAAATAGGGCGTCAGTATTCAAGAGAGAACAGGCTTCACCCGAGTTAAAAAAAACAAGCAAAGAAATAGCTTCAAGGGAGAACACGGTCTTGAAGAGCAAGTCTGAGATGACTGTTCTTTTAACCAAGCCGCCAACCTTTGAGAAATTCCAGGCCAAATACTGAAGCATTATGTCGGCATTCTGGCAAACAGGAGACACTCGATAGACTGTCACCTTTGGACACACAACCAATGAAACCCAGCCGCTAACTCCCGTCGGTAGTCCGCTTTTGCGGCTGCGCAGAGCCCTGCCCAATTAAAAACAGCTTATTACTAAAGGGGGCAGGGATTGGTTCCAATTCCAGAGGCCGTCCGAAAGGGGCGGGGCTTACGGGTAGTTGCCACTCCGGTAAACCTCGGAAATGCTTGGGGTTGTTGACGGAAGTGGGAAGAAGGATCGTGATGGCGGCTGAGACTCTGTCTGAGGAGGTACGTGCTCCTGGCTCTTTGTGGGGATTTTTGTGGGGCTGGGCCCCATAGAGGGATGGGGTTAGAGGTGGAGGCTCTTCCTGGGTTGCCGGGCCGGAGGCGCCGGCACTGCGGGCAGAGGCCCCGGGACGTCGGCCTAGGCCGTCACCGGGAAAAGCCGAGCCGACCCAACCCCAGCGCCGTCCTTCTCGCGGCAGGTGCGGCTGGACGCGGTGGAGGAGCAGCCGCCGCTCGCGACGGCCGAGGAACTGGCCGCCCAGAAGCGCGAGCAGAGGCTGCGCAAATTCCGGGAGCTGCACCTGAAGCGGGTGAGTAGCGCCGAGTCTCCGCTGCGACAGATCTGCACCTGGCGAGCCCGAGGGCGTCGTCGAGAATTCAGGCTAAATGAAATAGTTCATGGGTTCCAGAGAGGGCCCCGCAGGCCGAGCACTTGTTTTGCATGTGGAAGGCCGAGACCGCCTGGTTCCCCAGATGCTTCAGGAGTGACCCCCAGGCATAGATCCAGGAGTCGCACCTGAGTCTCACCGGGTGTTGCCACCAACCCAGTTAAAAAATACATAGGCTAGAGAGAGAGTACAGCGAGTGGCGGCCCACCCGCGTCCCGTCCCCGCCACCGAATATGGGCCCCTGAACACCATCAGAGGTGATCCAGGAGCACCTCCTCCTCCCACTTGAATAACCAAGCGTAAAATGCCCTTGCTCGCCAACAGGGCCTAGGTGAGAGCAGTTTTGCTTCCTCGATTCTGCCAGACAGGTTACTGGCACAGACTCATATTCTGGAATATTGTTCACGATTTGTACTCTCCTTTGGTGTCACAAACACAACTTCGATTACGGTGCCTTCAAATGGAGCACATTCCCAGAATTGAGAGTGTATGTGGGCTAGTATTTGAGTCAAGGAACTCTTCTTGTCCAGAAAAAGTTTAATATGAGAACTCCCTAACAGCCTGTGGCCTAAGAGATACCCAGTTAAGTTATCCTTAAGATGATTTTTTTTTTTTTGTTGACTCATTTTGTTCCTACTTTGGACAAACTTTCCTACTTTGGACAAACTTGCAGGCTATCGAATGTAGCCTGCCCACAGGGCAGAGTCTGGCAAACTCCCCGTGGCGTACCAAATATGCCAAATACCAGTAACAATGATGGGTCTCATTCTCCTAAATAGCCTTGAATATAATCTCAGGGTTAGGATGAAAGAGACGTTACTGGGGCCTGCTCGAGGCAATCGACGAATAACAGGATGATGAAATGAAAATGAAATGAAATGACTCATTTTGATTCACGTAGTTCATTTATTTAAAAATGAGAAGTTTTAAATTTATTTATTTTAGCGTTTTGGGTTACACCTACTGATGTTCAGGGGTTACTCCTAGTTCTGCGCCCAGGAAATACTCTTGGCAGTTCTCTGCAGGACTATATGGGATGCCAAGGATCAAACCTGGGTGGCCGTGTGCAAGTCAAATACCCTACCTACGGTGCTATCCCTCCGGCCTCAGTTTTTAACTTTTATATATTTATTATTTTGGTTTTGGGGCAACATCTGGCTATGATCAGGGTGTACACCTGGTGGTGCTCAGGAGCTCAAATTTGCCTCAGTTGCTTGTAAGGCATGTTTCCTGCTGTACTATAACTCTGGCCCCATCATGCACTTAAACTCTTTATTGAGATTTTGCAATTAAAAAAAACCTTTTATTTGTCACAACTTAAAGTATTAATGTTTGAAGATTAGATTAGGATAGATATTGAGGTTGAGTTGTGGGGGAGAATAGGTATCAAAGCCCAAGTGGCCAGAAAGAGCACCTGGGATAAGGCGCTTGGTTCCTTCCAGGGACCAGGTGTATTCCCCGTAGCATCGCCAGGTGCAGACCCTCTTCCCCTGTCTCCATCCTCCCTCCTCTCAAAGCCTTCAGCCTTGCATTAATATTCCCCACTCCCTCTGCCCCCCAAAGCAATTAGGAGTAAAGAAGAGTATGTTTCTCAAATGTGACTTAATATTTTTGTGTCATCTGAAACCTCTTAAATATCACTATACTATCCCTTCCTCACTTTTCAAAACCTTACTCTGACCCAACACTAAGGAACCTCTGCAAATTGACTACACAGCTAAACTGATGCAAAGTTGACCTTAGTTCGGCTTTTGGAATTGCCAGCTAGTGCATGTCACACATTTTTCTCAGGTATTTAAGACATAAGGGCCTAATTCAGCTCTTCCCTGACTTAGAATCTTTCGGTGGTGGTCTCTTTTTGGAAAAAAATGGTTTTCTTTAAAAAAAAAAAAGTATTCTTTTCCTTATACGACTTAACTGATTCTCAAAGAAGACACAGTCTCTGGATTAATTTTCATGTTTCAACTGACAAAGTTTTTGTATTATGGTTTTAGAATGAAGCTCGTAAATTAAACCACCAGGAAGTTGTGGAAGAAGATAAAAGACTTAAATTACCTGCAAATTGGGAGGCCAAAAAAGCTCGTTTGGAATGGGAACTACAGGAAGAAGAAAAGAAAAAGGTTGGGAACTCTACTATCTTAACAAGTGGTTTAATCAGTCATTCTCTGTGTCGAGCCAGTAGGACATGTTGGTTTTTTAGAGTGGCTCTCGAGCTATAGCACTCTGGATGGGTTCTTTAACTTTTGTGCTATTCTTTCAGTTGTAAAATGGAGACTCTGATAATAGTAGAGGAATAATGAATTAGATGAATTAATGTACATGAAGTATTTAAAAATCTTTAAAAAATGTATTTTGGGGGTGGTGGGGGTTGGGATTATTCTGCACCTGGGGGTGCTTGGGGACCTGGGGATTGAATCAGGCCCAGCTTCATGTAGGTCATGTACTACGTCTCTGACCCACATGCGAAATATGAGAAGGGTCTGACACCCGATTAACATTGGATGAATACTGTTTTTTAAATTGCTGCACTTTAAAAATTTTTTTTTTTTACTTTTTGGGTTACATCCGGCGGTGCTCAGGGGTTACTCCTGGTTTTGCACTCAGGAATTACTGCTGGTGATGCTCAGGGGACCATATAGGATGCTGGGGATTATACCCAGGTCTCCATGTGCAAGGAAAAGAATTGTTCCAGCCCCATATTATTATAGTCTTAGTAATACCAGTGCATAGTCCCAAATTCCCTTCCAATATTAGTCTTATTTTAGTGAGTAGCTCCCATGCAGTGCTCAGAGAGCCTAGGAGCCTCTCCAGTGATACCCAGCCTGGCTTAGCAGGCCTGATCTGTCAGTGCTCGGAGTCAGCAATGTAGTGCTGCTACATTGGTATTGGGGATTGAGCTATGGGGATTAACCCATGCCAGGCATATGTGCAAACCCTTAAGCTATAGCTCCAGTTCACCATTCTCTTTTCTGTATCCTTTTTGTGTGTGTGTTTTTGGGGGTGGGGGGCACACGTGGTGGTGTGCAGGGTCTGCTCTTGGCTCAGTGCTCGGGGGACCATACCATACCAGGGTTCCAAACTGGTGTCCTGCATGCTTAGCGTGTACTTTTGTTTGTTGAGCTCTCTCTCTAGCCTCCCCTTTAAATTTCTTGTGGGGCCATACCTGACAGTGCTGTGAGTGGGTGTGGGGAGGCCCTGCAGTACCGGGCAGAATCTAGGGCGTCACACATACAAGGCATGTTCTTGGCTACTTGATGCACATCTTCATTCCCTAAGATTTTAAAAGGTGTTGGTTGACAGAATTGTTGAATTCTAAAATTAAAATGGATAAAATAATTGTATCATAATTGCAGTTATCAGCTCTATATCTTGCTTTTAGGAATGTGCAGCAAGAGGAGAAGACTACGAGAAAGTGAAATTGCTAGAAATCAGTGCAGAGGATGCAGAGAGATGGGAGAAGAAAAAGAAGAGGAAAAACCCTGATCTGGGATTTTCAGGTCAGGTTGATCTTTATTTTATTGCCATGCATGTTAGAATTAGCATTTCTTTCAGTGTTTCTCACTTTAAGAAAGTACAGTAACTTTTTTTTTTTTAAATTTTTATTAGTGAAACACCATGAGGTACAGTTGTAGACTTACAAATTTTTGTACTTGGGTTTCAATTATACAATGATCAAGTACCTATCCCTCCACCAGTGCCCATTTTCCACCACCACTGATCCCAGTATCCCTCCCACCCCCCATTTCCCCCATCCCACCCTGCCTCTGTGGCAGGGCATTCCCTTTTGTTCTCTTTTTTTGGGTGCTGTGGTTTTCAAAAGAGGCATTGAGTGGCAATCATGTTCAGTCTATAGTCTACTTTCAGCGTGCTTCTCCCACCCTGGGAGGATCATCCCAACACTCTTTATTTGGTGCTCCCTTCTCTATCTGAGCTGCCTTTACCCCTGGAGTGTGTGGCTGGCCTCCAAGCCATGGAGTAAACCTCCTGGTAGTTATCTTGGCTATTCTTGGGTGTTAGTCTCCTATTTTGTTACTTTATGTTCCCCAGATGAATGCAGTCTTTCTATATCTGTCCCTTTCTTTCTCACTCATTTCCCTTAGCATAGTACTTTCCATGTAGTACCACTTGTATGTAAATTTTATGACTTCATCTTTTCTAATAGCTACATACTACTCCATTGTGTAGATGTACCAAAGTTTCTTTAACCAGTCATCTCTTCTCGGGCACTCAGGTTTTTTCCAGATTCTGGCTATTGTAAACAGTGCTGCAATAAACAAACAAGTGCAGATGTCACTTTGACTATACTTTTTTGCCTCTCTGGGGTATATTCCCAGGAGTGGTATTGCTGGGTCAAATGGAAGCTCAGTTTCTAATTTTTTGAGAATCGTCCATACTGTTTTCCAAAAGGGCTGAACCAGTCGGCAGTCCTACCAGCAGAAAGTACAGTAACTTTTCATGTAACTTCTTTTGGGGTCCTTCCAAGTGGTGCTCAGGGGACCTGGGAGCCATTCCCAGATATTCTGCCAATCGGGCTGGCAGTTCAGTGGGAGGGTTGAAGGATGCAGTGCTGCTGAGCACTGTGGTGCTTGGGGGCTTCCAGGGTCACAGTCATGCTGAGGGGATCATGTGGTGTCAGGGATCAAACTAGGGTTGACTGCATATGAGGTTTGTGCTTAACCCCTGAATCATCTCTCTGGTCCCCACGTAATGTTTTTGTTAGAGAGTTAAAACCCAAGAAAAATACACATGTGTGTCTTAGACAGAAGTAAAAAAGACTGTGGGTTGGATTCTTGTATGCTTTGTGGCAGTATTAAAGCTTTTATTATCAGCGTCTTCACAGTAGAGGTTATGATTAGTGTTTTGTGCATATGTTCACTGTATCACTGTCATCCCATTGTTCATCGATTTATTTGAGCAGGCGCCAGTAATGTCTCTATTCGCCCCAGCCCTGAGATTTTAGCAGCCTCTTCTTACTCATCTTTCCCAATGATTGGAGGCTCTTTCAGGGTCAGGGGAATGATACCTGTTATAAATACTGGTTTTGGCGTATTGAATATGCCATGGGGAGCTTGCCGAGCTCTGCCTTTGCGGGCAGGATATTCTCGGTAGCTTGCCGGGCTCTCCGTGCATATGTTACTAATTTAAACTTTTTTCAGGACAATTAGCAAGGACATGTTACCTGATTCTCTCTCTTTTTCTCTCTTTTAGATTATGCTGCTGCCCAGTTACGCCAGTATCATCGGTTGACCAGACAGATCAAACCTGACATGGAAGCATATGAGAGACTGAGAGAAAAACAGTAAGTTGTCAAGATTGATGCAGACCCTTTTTTCATTTTGATGTGATAACATGTATTTGTGTGTCTGTATACACATACATACATACCTACATAAAAATAGGCACACTTAGGCATTGTCAACATCTGTTAAAGAATCGTCTGGTTCTTGACAATATGATACATTTGTCACTCCACACAGGCAAACTAGACATCTGGTTCTTTTTCTAGCTGAGCTTTCTAAGATAGTTAACAAAAACCATCATAGTCATTTAGTTATTTTAGGAAGCAGAATGTGTTGAAATGAGTGAACTTTTTTTTTTTTTGGTGGAGAGTTGGTGGTGGTGGTGGTGTTGGGTGGGCCACACCTGGTATGCTCAGGATTTACTCCTAGCTTTGCATTCAGGAATCACTCCTGACAATGCTTAGGGGATCATACAGGGTTCTGGGAATAAAACTCAGATCAGCCGTGTGCAAGGCAAGTACCCTACCAGTTGTACTATCTCTCAGCCCCATGATTTTTGTTTTTAGTTTTTTTTAGCAAAGGACCACTTACTAGTTTTAGATTTTATAGGCTCAAGTAGTCTTTGTCACTACTCAGCTTTGCTATTCAGATGTGAAAGCAACCATGGAGGATATACAAACAAACAGATACAGTTGTGTCCCAATACAGTGGCTTCTGACCCCTTGTTTTTGTTTTTCTGGATGAACATAGAAGTTCAAGTTCTGGTTTTGTTTTGTTGTTTGACCATACCCAGCAGTGCTCAGGGGACCATATGCAGTACCTGGGATTAAACCAGTTTGTAAGGCAAGCTCCCTACCTGATGTACTATCTGTCTGGCCTCAGAAGTTCAAATCCTCTGACCTTTGGTTCTATTTCTAGAATGAAGATGTCAGAAGTGATTTCTAGGTTCCTTCCAATTCTTTATTTTTTTAAAAAATTTTTATTAGTGAAACACCATGAGGTACAGTTGTAGACTTATAATTTTTTGTGCTTGGGTTTCAGTTATACAATAATTGAGTACCCATCTCTCCACCAGTGCCCATTCTCCACCTCCAGTGCTCCCAGTATCCCTCCCATCCCCCAACCCCCCTGCCCACCCAATTCTGTATTTTTTTTTTAAAAGATAGGATTTTGCAGTAAAATTAAGTATGCACATTATAAATGGTAGTTCAGTTCAAAGTTTGAGAAAGTGGCCTTTTTATAGTGTATTCTAAGTCTATTTTGCTGTCTTTGCAGTGGAGAAGAGTTTTTCCCAACATCTAACAGTCTTCTTCATGGAACACACGTGCCTTCCTCAGAAGAAATCGACAGGATGGTCATAGATCTGGAGAAACAGTATGTACTTAGTATCCTATGCTTAAGTAGCACTGTCTTCCTGTTGTTCATCGATTTGCTTGAGTGGGCACCAGTAACATCTCCAATGTGAGACTTGTAACTGTTTTTGGCATATCGGATACATCACGGGTAGCTTACCAGACTTTGCTGTGCTGGTGGGATACTCTGGTTGCTTGCCGGACTCTCCGAGAGGGGCGGTGGAATTGAACCCGGGATGACCGGTGCAAGGCCCTACCAGCTGTGCTTATCTCTTCATCATGAGAGGGGGACAGGAGCGCCTCGAGTATTTAGTATAGTAGCTTGAAATTTTTTTGTTGTTTTTGGCACCTGGCAGTGCTCAGAACTTCTTCCTGCTCTGCACTCAGACTTCACTCCTGGAGGAGTCGGGGAACTTAGGGGATGGCTGGGATTGAACTGGGGCAGCCACATGTAAGCAAGTATCTTATTTGCTGTGCTATCTCTCTGGCACGGAAATTTTAAATGCTTACTGATTGTGCTTAGAACAAATTGAAAAGACAGAAAATTATACTTCTCATTTCTGACCCAGCATTTATAGTGGGTTTGTTTATTTCAGTGGGTTTTTTTTTTTGTGAAACAAGATGTTTTATTGAGATTCATTTAGAAAGATATGAGGGGAGAGAGAGGGAGATGTAATGTTAGAGAGTGAACACAGGCTTCTCCAAAGTGGAAATTGGCAAGCAAAGAAACATCAAGACAAGCAAGTAAGATACTTATTTAAGGGAGAACATGGACTTGAAGATTAAACCTGTTTTTTGTTTATTGGGGGGCCACACCTGGCGGTGCTCAAAGTTTACTCCTGACTGTGCTCAGGGATCACTTCCTGGCAGCTTGGGATTGAACCTGGGTCAGCCGCATGCAAGGCTAGTACCCTACCACTATATTATTGCTCCTGCCCCCTGTAGAGTGGTTTTGGTGCTAGCAAATGTTGATTACATTGAATTGTTATAAGTGAAGCTGGGAAAGTTGTATGCTAATTGATTAGAAGAAGAATGTTCTACTAAACATACCGCTATTACATTTTTGGTTGTTTATTTTTTTTTGTTTCTGGGCTGGAGCGATAGCACAGCGGGTAGGGCGTCTGCCTTGCACGCAGCCAACATGGCCGACCCGAGTTCGATTCCTCCGCCCCTCTCGGAGAGCCTGGCAAGCTACCGAGAGTATTCGATTCGATATGCCAGACACAGTAACAACAAAGTCTCCAATGGAGACGTTACTGGGCCCGCTCGAGCAAATCGACGATCAACGGGAGGGCCTGGGCCACAACCAGCAGTGTTCAGGGGCTAGTCCTGGCTCTGTGCTTAGGTGTTACTACTGGCAGTGCTGGGGGACCATGTAGTGCCAGGGATCAAATCCAGTCCCTCTGTATGCAAAGCTTGTGCTCAGCTCATTGAGTGCTCTTTCTTCCCACAGTGTTTGTGGTTCTTAATATTTATTATGGTCAATATTAGGCAGCATAGAATGAATTTATATTTTAGGAGTCAATGCATATAAAAATTAGCATATAGGGCATAACTTATTCATATTAGCTGTACCTATTAGTTATCATTAGTATTTCATGTGTTTAGATTCTAGCAATATATCTTTGTTCTTTTATTTCTTTATTTATATTTGGGGTGGGGAGTGGGCCTTATCTTGCAGTGCTTAGGGCTACTCTTGGTGTTTGCTTGGGTGTTCTTGGTGGGACCATGGAGTGCACCCTGGAATACTACCCACATGTAAAGTATGCCCAACAGCCCTTTAAATTGTCTTCCCAACCTTCTCTTATCTCACCTTTTATTCTGCTCCCACAACCAGCTGTACTCAGGTGTTACTCCTGGTTCTGTGCCCCTGGATCCCTCCTGGTGGGCTCAGGGGATCCTTTGTGGTGCTAGGGATTGAACCCAGTTCAGCCATGTGCTAGGCAAGCACCTTACCTGTTATACTATTGCTTTGGCCCTCTTATTATTTAAAAGTTAAAAAAAAAACCAGACATTTGTTGCTTTTGGGCCACATCAGGAGATGCTTAGGGCTTACTCCTGGCTCTGGGTTCAGGGATCACTTCTGGCAAGGTTTGGGGGACAATATGTGCTGCCAAGATTGAATCCAGGTCATCTGCATGCAAGGCAAATGCCCTTGCTGATGTACTGTCACTCCAGCCCTATTTTTAATGTATGTACATTGTTTTGTGGTTTGCGTATTTGTCGCGGTGCTTGGGGTTGCTGTCAGTGATGAGGGTATTGTGCTGGGGATTGAACTCAGAGCCTTGTATATGCAAGGCCTACTGTATTCTCCTGCTGAGTCATATCCTCAGTCTCTGCAAGCATTCTGAAGATGTTTGTGTTCATTGAATTTCCTGGTTTGTATCCAGGGTTGTGTAGCTTTAACTTGATGAAAAGTAGGTTTTCCTCTACTCCATTTTTATTTTCCAGAGTGTGCTGATTTTGTTGCTGTTTCTGTGGCTATGTTTTGTTAAGTTAAAAAAAAAGTTAGATTTTGTAAATTGTTTTATTTTTCTCCCAGAATTGAAAAACGAGACAAATACAGCCGGAGACGTCCTTATAATGATGATGCAGATATTGACTACATTAATGAGAGGAATGCGAAATTCAACAAGAAGGCAGAAAGATTCTATGGGAAATATACAGCCGAAATTAAACAAAACTTGGAAAGAGGAACAGCTGTTTAATCCCTTTTGCTACTATTTTCAGAAGCTTGAGAATGGGGTAAAAGTTTCTACTAGCAGATTCAAAGTTAATCCTGGCTCCCAGTACACATTTAGAAATAAATGTTTTTTTCATAATCATATGCTACAAGTATATTTCCAGTTTTTATGCTTGGCTGGATATGTTTCTTAATAGTGTACTTGTTTTGTAAAAACCAATTTTGTATAAACTCTAATTATATTATTTTTCTATGTATTTTAAATGTGTATGCCTTTAATCCTTGAAACATTTTGGGCTCAGAATTGCTGGCAGTGTACATAATTACAGTCATTGTCACTTTGTAATGAATCTCGAGCTAGGTTCACAACTGTGAAGCTGTAGCTTCCCAGCTCAGAAGTGAAGGAAGGAGGATGAGACTGGGAGGGCTGATGCAGGTCCCTCCTGAAGCTGCTTCTGACCAGGTTCAGGAAGTAGCAGTGATTCTGCTGTGACATTGCCCATTATCAGTTCCTCTTTTAAGAAACAAATATCCTTTGGACTAGACTCCCGACTAAACAAATGTATAAATGCATTTGTATGTACACAACATATTTTTTATTATGGGAAAATTTTAAACATTCAAAAAAAGATGGAATAATACAATGAATTCTATGTATCCATTACCTAACTTCAGTCATAATTAGTGTTCAGGTTTAGGGTTTTTTTTGGGGTTTTTTTTTTTTTTTTTTTGGTGTTTCTTCCTCTCACGGGGACCTCAGACTGTGGGACACTCAGGGTACATCAACATATGCATCGTACCCAGCATTGAGCTCAAGACCTGCTTGCTCTGGGTAATTTTCTAAGTCACTAACAGCTGGGCTACTGTGATCACCACTTCAGTGAGTGCTGACCCTGGGGTTTGAACTCAGGATCTCAACCTGCCAGGCAAGTCCAGATGTGTGCTTTCAAGCACTGAGCCATCTTCCAGGTCCTTCATGTTGAATTTTGTTTCATCTTTCTTTCTGTACACTTCTTTTTTTCTCCATGATGCCTTTGTTTTGCTGAAAATACTGAATGTATAGTTTTGTCATCTGTGTATCTGAGAAGAAGAAAAATAAGGATCACTGTATTATTGTGCCAGATGCAGTTTTAATAAAATTCCAGAGAGAAATTTTGTTACAGTTTTCCTACATGTTAATTAAAAATTCTAAATACCTAATTAGGAATTAGTGTATATGAAAGTCCATCTGTATGAATCTTTTGATGACTGTTTTGTGTTTTAATTAAGGTTTTAATTCTTGTTTAAATTTTGGAGGTTTGGGTCACACATGGCAGTGCTCAGAGGCTACTCTCATCTCAGTGCTGGGGGACCGTGCTATGCTGGTGATTGAACCTGGACCTCCTGCATGCAAAGCATGCACTTAGCCCATTGAACTCTCTCTCTCTCTCTGGTCCCAAAGTCCTAATTCTTAATTACGTATTCACTGCATAACAGTTCCAAGGATGGTTGCTTAATATTTTCAGTGGGCATTAGTTGGTGTTCACCACTGTTGCAAGTGGTCTTTTGTTTACAGATACTGACGAAGAATGTGCACTGCAGAAGACAAGTGTACATCCTTTATGATTCTGTTGAATATGTTCCATCTTTGTTTATCTTTCAAGTGCATCAGTGAATGGAAATTATACAGTGTATAATATATCATGTGGTGATTATACAGTGAAAAGTTATAAAGCAGTTTGAGGACAGAAAAGACCGTGACCATTATGCAGTGAAGTTCGTATGATTGCATCAACTTAGAGTCTTTAGAGAACTGGGCCGTGGTGCATGGAGAGACTGCAGCAGACTTTTGTCTGAGATATTGCTGAGATAGTCTTGGGAAGACTGTGTTGGTGAGAGGTCACTGTCCTAGACAGGACCACACATGAAGTCTGAAAGTGTGCAGAGGGCCTCTGGGCCCCTAGGTATGAGGCAGACTGCCAATCAGAGAAAATGACCTGAACCTTTCTCCCGAAAGTCTTAGAGGGATCGGTACCTGGCACTCCAGCACAACCAGGATAGTGTTTTCCCATCAGTTGAAAGGGAAAAGACTATAATTCATGGGTCAGAATACCTATGAGATTTACTTTTTCCTCGTCAGAGAATCATTAGCCCTAAACACCACCTGGGTCTTGCCTACTAAATCTTAGAAGGTAGGCCTGAAAGAATAAAACTTCCAAATAATTTAACTGCATCTCAGAACAAAGATCAAGAGTAACTAGAAAACATATCTCCAGGAATGTCCTAATGATTTCCAGTATCCAATTAGAGATACAGGAAAGTTGGACTCTAATAAAAATCAATCTACACTCACCAGGACCTTATCTGGATGTTTAAATTACAAGGCAAAGCAGTTATTAAAATGATACCCCATATGACAAAAATGTTAGGAAGAAATATTTCACTGAGGAACCAGAGCGATAGTATGGCAGGTAAGTTGTGTTTTCCTTGCACGCAGCCAACCCATATGGTCCCCTTGAGCAGGAGTAATTCCTGAGTGTTGAGCCAGGAGTAGCCCCTGAGCACCCAAAAACAACAGAAAAAGATAAAAATTCACATTGAACTTTAAAAAGAAACTATTTACTTCTGGTTTATAATACTGTATGAATTTTTGAAAGTGGTTTCACATTTTGTATGTATAGAAGACTTATTGAACCCACCACCAAAGTTCTAGTGCCTTTCCTATAATTGACCCCCTTCCCTTTCACCCCATTCCACTCTTTTGGTGACCAAATAACCCTCCCTTCCTTACTCCCTCCCTTCCTCCCTCCCTCCCCCCTTCCCTCCCCCCTCCCTCCTTCCCTCCCCCTTCCCTCCCTCCCCATTCCCTCCCTCACTCCTTCCCTCCTTCCTTCCTTCCTTCCTTCCTTCCTTCCTTCCTTCCTTCCTTCCTTCCTATAGTGCTCAGACTTGACTCCTGACTCTGTGCTCAGGGGACCTGTGGTACCAGGAATTGAACCTAGGTCAGTTGCTTGTAAAGCAAGAGTCCTACCCATTGTACTGTTTCTCCAATCCCAGGAGAGACTACTCTGCCCTCCTCTCCTTTCCCCTCCCTCCTCTATCCCCTCCCCTCTCCTCTGTGAAAAGACAGTGCATTTCTGTGCTTTTTAAATCCCTTTTCTGGGGAACCCAGAATTCAGGTACCAGTACCTGGATCTCATCTGCCCAACACTCAACTAGGGGGTCTCTGCAGAAGTAAGCATTTATACAGGATTCACTTTTTGTTCTCCTAGGCCACATACCTGGTTGAAGATAGAGTAAAAATCCAGTTTCTGATCAGTGATACTTTCAGACCTCTGTTTTTAAGATCAAAAGTCTGTTTCCTCAGTCCTTTTTGTAACAATTCAACCACCAGTTGGTTAAATGGTTAAATCATTAAAGCCTTACCCCCTGTACAATCTCTTTGGCCTCTGTTTTTGTTTTGCCTTTAGGAGTGTTTCAGTGGTTTTGAAGATTAAACCTGGGGACTCCTGCATGCAAAAAAAAAAAAAAAAGCATGTCAAATAATAAGCCCCCTGCTGTTTAGTTTAGACATGATGTGCCTAAGAAGCAGGAACCTTAGTTGTTTAGCATCATCTGTGGAGACTGAGTAGCACAGCTTCTAAATCATTTTAAAAACGTTTTTGCTTTTGTGGTATTTAGACTGTACATGGTGGTGCTCAAGGCTTACTCCTGGCTCTGTGCTCAGGGATCATGCCTGGCAGTGCTCAGGGGACCACATGGGATAGCAGGAATTGAACGTGTGTCAGCTGGCTGCATGCCGAGCAAACACCAAACCTGTTGTACTTTCATTCCTCCCTAAGAGAAGACTAAAGATTGAGAGCCTGTTTTTTCTTTTTTTCTTTTTCTTTTTAGTGTGTGTGTGGGGGCATACCTGGTGGTACTCAGGGGCTACTCCTGGTGCCCCAGTGTTACCAAGCAGTGCCAGGAACTAAACCTGCAACTCCTATGTGGAAAGCATGTGCTCAGCCTATAGAGTTGTCTCTCTGGCCCAAAATTTGTAACCTTGTAATTTTAGAATTGGTTTCTGGTTTTCAGGACAAGGAGGGTTACTTTGGTATGTTGTTGTTGTTTGTTTTGGGGCCACACCTGGCAATACTCAGGGCTTACTCCTGGCCCTGCACTCCAGAAGTCAGTCCTGGGAGGTTAGGGAGACCTTATGGGATGGCAGGGATCAAACCCAGGTCTGCCATATGCAAGACAAGCACTGTACCTATTGTACTATCCAATCAAGGAGGTCCACGGTAGCCTGTCCCACAGTGGCTGTTTTCTTGAGTGGGTGGATATACTGACAGCATCTCAGTAGACAGAAACTTCTGGGGAGTGTGTGTGTGTGTGTGTGTGTGTGTGTGTGTGTGTGTGTGTTCAGTTGGAAATGATCCCTGGGTGAGAGGGCTGGAGCGATGTAAAGAATACCACAAATATCAGAAATAAACTCCTTTGATGTACCACCCCAGTGTACTCCAGAAACCTTATTTTGATGATGGGGTCCTGGACTTTGAGCTGGAGGTATAACAGGAAGAGATTTAGTAACTGTATACCAGGGGATGTAAGTTTTTGTTAGCCAGAGGAAGGTTGTAGCTGATCCACCCCAGTATCCTCCTTCAGGAGGAGGTGGTGATTTCTCAGGATTGTTGCGGCAATGTACTATAGACTTTAGCAACACGTTAATTGTCTCCTGGCAATGGATGCTGGAGATCTGAAGTCAAGGGATTAGTGGGGTGGGCTCTTTCTCTGGGCTTGCCACATGCAATTAAAAGAAGAGAAAGTAATTCTGACAGTCAGAATGTACCCTTTTTTTCCTTTTTTGGCCACACCTGGCTGTGCTCAGGACTTTCAGATTGAGCCTACTGTATTATTTTTCTGACCCCTAGAATGTACACTTTTTTTGCTAGTTGTGATCATACTTCTGCTCACTGCCTGTATTTCCTTTGTCGGGTGTACTAAGTGATGGAACCTCAGTGACTCGGAAAGCAATAATATTTTCCTTCGTGGGGGGCATCAGCAGTCCTAAATCAGTGGCAGGCAACTAAATCAGATTTTTACAGAGCTTTTTTTCATTATTAAGGAAAAAAAATTTTAGTCTCATAATGCAGCCTCAAGAGTCTTCTGAAAAATTAACCTCT